CCCGAACGCGTGGTGTTCTCCCCAGTGCCAGGGTTTTCTTACGACACCAGGCAATACCCCCACTTCGTGGGGGGCATTACAAGCTCTACCAAATATCCAAACGACTCTTCGCGACCACCCAAACCCAGCTTCCCGCCCTATGACGTTGGGACACTTCACTTCGTGGCGTGCGGACGACCGTGGCTACTACACTGGCGTGGGGTACACACCCACAAAACTTGGTCACTTATTCGGGGCGCGCATGTGCCCAGCATGGTGCAATTGTGCCATACCATACATAATACAGAGAGACAGAGAGAGAGACAGAGAGCAGACAGAGAGAGAGAGACAGAGAGAGCGGAGTTGGTCACATTTTTGGGTCAAGTTCCTGGGATGATGGGAATACACAACTCTGTTACATTTGATAGTGTGCACGACACACATGAGATGATACGTACTCGCAAGATAGTTGGTCACATTTGTGGAATTCCTGGGCGGACCTCCGCGGCGGCCTCGTCGGCGAAGCTCTCCCGATACTGATTGAGTCGAAGACGCTGGCCTATACATTCCTCCACAGCTTGGGCAGTATTCAATGCTCCCTTGGCGCCCCACTCCGTGCTGAGCCACTTCTGACATACCCTGGCGTCAGCAGATACAGATAAATGTCCCAGGAGCCACTGCTTCAAGACGGCCCCGTCAGTAGTCCCCTCGGGCACGTCTGTGCGAATACGTTCTCCATACCAGGTCTCCAGATGGCCAGCGTTCTGCACTTTGACAAGCGTCTCTTTGGAAGAATACTGCAGTAACCACGTCGTTGCGACCTTATTTGACACATACAGTGGTGGATCCAACTGTCGGAGCGCCCCGCATAATTTAAAAGCTGCATTATACTCGATGCCCAGGTGGCGGATGGCAGAGCCGTGATGCTCCTCCAGCTCCGTGGCGCTAGAAATACTGACCGTGCCAGGCACAACCCGATACTTGCACCACCAAAGCTTGCACGCCTGGTGACTGACCTGGATACCCTTTGCAACGAGCGCATGATGCAAATAATACGGGCTGCCGCAGTCAGCCAATGGAGGCCGCGACAGCTCTGGGCCATACTGGTCGTCAAGGGCTTTCGCCGACAAAGCCATGACCCATCCAAGAACACAGGCGATACCTTGATCCGAGATGGCTACGGATGTGACAGTGATCAGTCGGAGGCTTCCTGGGGCCGCTTGGGGCCCTCTTGGGGTAGGGGGGAAGCCTCCTGGAGCCGCTTGGGGTCCTCTTGAGCTTTGGGGGGCTTCTTGGAAGCATCTTGGGGCCTCTTGGGGGCTTATTGGGTCCTCACGGCGGGCTCTTGGGGCCTCTTGAAGGCCTCCTGGGGCAACCTATGGCGCAACCAGTAGGGAGCGTTTTATTCTCGGCGGCCGAGGGCGCAACCTATGGCGCAACCAATAGGAGGGCGTTTTATTCTCGGCGGCCGAGGGCGCAACCTATGGCGCAACCGCAAGGGAGTATGGCCCCTGGCAGGCGCGCGAACCCCGTTGCAAGAGCGTGCGAAAGTAGCTCGCGCGAGCTCATGTAACATAAATGTTGGAAAACCATTGGTTTTTTTAGGATTCGTACAGCGCGCGCGGGTGGAAATTTTGAAAAGTCGTGCAGGTGTTTTTCGAGGACCTACGGTGCGATTCGTGTGATTTTATGATGCGCGGTGCTAAAATTCTTAAGAACCCAATGGTTTTTGGAGATTTCGGCGTGCGCGCGCGAAGAAAAAACGAATGTGTCCCGCATGGTTTTATTTGACAGGGATGATGGCCCTGGCAGGTGCGCAACCGTTGTCGCATGGTATTATTTGACAGGGATGATGGCCCTGGCAGGTGCGCAACCGTTGTTGCAGAAGTTCGAAAAAGTTGCTCGCAAAAGCCCGTTTGACAGAAATGATTAAAATGTGTTGGGTTTCCTACGAATCCGCAAGAGCGCGCGGGATGAAATTTTGACATTTTTTTTGAAAAACCATTGGTTTTTTGATGTTTTTATGTTAAAATCGCTACGAAAACTAAGGTTTTGGAAGGATTTCGTCTTGCGCGTGCGAATGTCCACTTTACCTTATTTGTTGCAAGGGATTCTTGAAGTTTGGTTATGTTAGAACAAGAAATGTCCACTTTAGCTTATTTTTTGCAAGGGAAAACCGATCGTAACAACACAACCGGATCCGGACTCCCCCGTTTTGCCTGAGACTTCCTCACGAAAATGATGAAAATGAGGCTGCGGCCTAGGCGCGGCGGGGGGGTCGTGCACCAGGGGTCCCAACAATAGTTATTCTTTAGAAGTAATAATGTTCAACAACAACAACAACAACAACAACAACAACAACAATCATTTAAGACTGGGGACACTCCGTTCTCACCAGTGCCAGGGTTTTCATAGGAGGCGGGCAATACCCCCACTTTGTGGGGGGGCCGGTTCAAGCTCTACCAAATTTCCAACGACTCTTCGCCACCACCCACACCCAGCTTCCCGCCCTATGACGTTCGGACACTTCACTTCGTGGCCTGCGGACGACCTTGGCTACTACACTGGCGCATGGTTACAATGACTTCTTGTGGTAACATCTTGTGGAAACTAGCTTAGTATACGACTTATACCCCTGTTCCAACAATGGGCACGTGTACCGTTTTCCGACGTTTTAACGTTTCTGTACCACACAAGCCAAGACCCTTATTTTGACTGGTATCACGTGCGTGGCGCCAGCATACCACAGGACTTGTTTCCGTTGTTGTGAGACGATATATGCTCAATCTTGTTCTGTGGTTCTCGTTCCGGCCTCAATGTGCAATACTGGCTCACTCGTCGACGAAATACACGTGACTACCTCTCTCTGGTTGGAGGTCCTGATGGTTGTGGTTGTCCCGATAATTGTCGCGATGAGTGTCCCGATGATTGTCCCGATTGTTGTTCCGATGGTTCTCCCGATGGTTGCCCCGATGGTGGTCCCGATCGTTGTCCCGATGGATGTCCCGATGGTTGTCCCATAAATGTAACATAAATGTTGGAAAACCATTGGTTTTTTTAGGATTCGGACAGCGCGCGCGGGTGGAAATTTTGAAAAGTCGTGCAGGTGTTTTTCGAGGACCTACGGTGCGATTCGTGTGATTTTATGATGCGCGGTGCTAAAATTCTTAAGAACCCAATGGTTTTTGGAGATTTCGGCGTGCGCGCGCGAAGAAAAAACGAATGTGTCCCGCATGGTATTATTTGACAGGGATGATGGCCCTGGCAGGTGCGCAACCGTTGTCGCAGAAGTTCGAAAAAGTTGCTCGCAAAAGCCCGTTTGACAGAAATGTTTAAAAGTGTTGGGTTTCCTACGAATCCGCAAGAGCGCGCGGGATGAGATTTTGACAATTTTTTGTTGAAAAACATTGGTTTTTTGATGTTTTTATGTTAAAATCGCTGCGAACACTAAGGTTTTGGAAGGATTTCGTCTTGCGCGCGCGAATGTCCACTTTACCTTATTTTTTGCAAGGGATTCTTGAAATTTGATTATATTAGAACAAGAAATGTCATTTTATAGTGTTTTTGCAAGGGAAAACGGATTACAACAAAACAACCGGATCTTGATCACATCGTTTTACCTGAGGCTTCCTCACGAAAATGATGAAAATGTAGCTGCGGCCTAGGCGGCGCAGGGGGGGCGCGCACCAGGGGGCCCAACAATAATTATTCTTTAGAATAAATAATGTTCAACAACAACAACAACATCAACAACAACAACACCAACACCAACAACAACAACAACAACAACAGCAGCAGCAACAACAACAACAGCAACAGCAACAACAACAACAACAACAACAACAGCAACAGCAACAGCAACAGCAACAACAGCAACAACAGCAACAACAGCAACAACAGCAACAACAGCAACAACAGCAACAACACTAACAACACCAAAACCAACAACAACAGCAACAGCAGCAGTAACAGCAACAACTACAACAACAGCAACAACAATAACGACAACGACAACGACAACGACAACAGCAACAAAACCAATCATTATAAGACTGTTGGCTCTTACTTGCCCGCGTGTCATTCAAAACGAGTTCCCCACACCCTCGATACCCGCCCTTCTTGTCTTCGGTCACACCCACTTTGTGGGGATTCTTTCTCTTTGCGGGGGGCGGCGGGCTCAGACAAGCGGGCAAAACTGAATGGGCGGACAATCCTTCGTGAGCCTACATGTGCCCGCCATTGGAATTGGTGTGGGCCCTGCACGAAGAGGAGGGGGAGAACGAGGGAGAGTGGGAGGAAGGGAGGGGGAGGGACGAAGGAAGAGGGAAAACGCCAGGAGAGAAGGAGCGAAGAGGGGGGCGGTTGATTAGAGGCAGAGAGAGAGAGAGAGAGAGAGAGAGAGAGAGAGAGATAGAGAAAGAGAGACAGAGAGAAAAAGACAGATAAGAGAGGTAAAGGCAGAGAGAGAGAGAGAAGGGGGAGAGGGAAATAAAGAGGGAGGGAGGAGGCAGGAGAGGGGAGGGAGAAGGGAGGAGGGATAGGAGGGAGAGGGGATAGGGCAGAGAGGCACAATGATGAGGGAAGAGAGGAGGGATAGAGAGGAGGGAGGAGAGGAGGGAGGAGGGAGGAGGGAGAGGGAGAAGGAGCAGGAAGGTAAGAGCGTGAACGCTCGAGGAAACCCTTGGCGAAAGCGCCGTTCCTGAAGGAAGCCTCGGGCGGGTAACAACACCAACAACGACAACAGCAGCAACAACAACAACAAGCAGAATCCTCAACGCGGATTCTCACTTCAGCCACGCATCCAGGGACCATGGATGACCGTTCGGCCCCCTCAGTCGGATCTACGTGCATATATACATATACAAACATGACCCGACGGGCACTGGGCTCCCTCGCGCCAGCGCCTCGAGCGGCAGGTTGAACTTTTCCACCTCGGCGGCCATGGCGGCCTTCGCCGCGGTGAGCTTGCCGATCGACGTCGCGGCCTCGCCGGCCGCCGCCGCCCTGCTGCGCTCAGAGGGCGGCAGCTAGACGCCGCCACCATCCTACAGGTGACCTTTATTTGTTGTTTGCAGCGCTGGCGTTAAGTCAGGCGTGTCCCCCCCACGGGGGAATTTTGGGCGAAAAACAAATATCCACTAAATCAAAAGAAACGTCCCCAGACTGTTTTCTTATTATTTTCCCCACAGCCTAAGAGGGGTTCTTGTTTTCTCTGCACACCCTCCGCGCAGGATCTCTCGTCCTCCTCCCTCTCCTCTGCTCCTCTTTGCTTCCTCCTCCGCATCATCATCACCATCACCATCACTCCCCACTCATCATCATCATCATCATCATCAGCATCACCATCACCATCGCACGATCACTCACCATCATCGGCATCGAACGATCATCATCATCATCATCATCATCATCATCATCATCTATTCGCTGACTCACCACTTCGTCCCCATCATCATCACCACCATTTACCATCAGAATCGCACGATCACTCACCATCAGCACTCATCATCACCACCATCATCATCATCACGTCGTCATCATCACCACCACCACCACCATCATCATCATCATCATCATCATCATCATCATCATCATCATCACATCATCATCAATCAATCATATATCATCATCAAACACCGTCGTCATCATCCCATCACCATCATCCACCAAGAGGGAGCCTCGTCTGTGAGTGAATTGTGAGGAAGTCTCAGGCGGGAGCCCCCTCCCTATGGGGCCCGCAGATCATGTTACTAATCCGAGCGGGCCATCGGATTCCTGTAACTGTCGTCACTTTTGGGCTCCTCAGGTCTGAATTTGGAGGAAGTATCAAGCGGGAGCCTCGTCTGTGAGTGAATTGCGAGGAAGTCTCAGGCGGGAGCCCCCTCCCTATGGGGCCCGCAGATCATGTTACTAATCCGAGCGGGTCATCGGATTCCTGTAACTTCGTCACTTTTGGGCTCCTCAGGTCTGAATTTGGAGGAAGTATCAGGCGGGAGCCTCGTTTGTCAGTGAATTGCGAGCAAGTCTCAGGCGGGAGCCCCCTCCCTATGGGGCCCGCAGATCATGTTACTAATCCGAGCGGGTCATCGGATTCTTGTAACTGTCGTCACTTTTGGGCTCCTCAGGCCTGAATTTGGAAGGAAGTATCAAGCGGGACCCTCGTCTGTGAGTGAATTGTGAGGACGCGTCAGGCGGGAGCCGCCTCCCTATGGGGCCCGCAAATCAGGTTACTAACCCGAGCGGGTTCATCTGATTGTGTAACTGTTGTGAGCTCCTCAGGTTTGAATTTGGAGGAAGTGCGTCAGTGAATTGCGAGAAGTCTCAGGCGGGAGCCCCCTCCCTATGGGGCCCGCAGATCATGTTACTAATCCGAGCGGGTCATCGGATTCTTGTAACTGTCGTCACTTTTGGGCTCCTCAGGTCTGAATTTGGAGGAAGTATCAAGCGGGAGCCTCGTCTGTGAGTGAATTGTGAGGAAGTCTCAGGCGGGAGCCCCCTCCCTATGGGGCCCGCAGATCATGTTATTAATCCGAGCGGGTCATCGGATTCCTGTAACTGTCGTCACTTTTGGGCTCCTCAGTTCTGAATTTGGAGGAAGTATCAAGCGGGAGCCTCGTCTGTGAGTGAATTGTGAGGAAGTCTCAAGCGGGAGCCCCCTCCTTATGGGGCCCGCAGATCATGTTATTAATCCGAGCGGGTCATCGGATTCCTTGTAACTGTCGTCACTTTTGGGCTCCTCAGGTCTGAATTTGGAGGAAGTATCAGGCGGGAGCCTCGTTTGTCAAGTGAATTGCGAGCAAGTCTCAGGCGGGAGCCCCCTCCCTATGGGGCCCGCAGATCATGTTATTAATCCGAGCGGGTCATCGGATTCCTTGTAACTGTCGTCACTTTTGGGCTCCTCAGGTCTGAATTTGGAAGAAGTATCAAGCGGGACCCTCGTCTGTGAGTGAATTGTGAGGACGCGTCAGGCGGGAGCCTTCCTATGGGTCCCGCAGCTCACGTGGTTCCTCCGGGTCATCCTCCGGCGCGCGCTTCCTCTGGGTCGTCCTCCGGCGCGTATCGGCTGGGACGCACGTCGTGCGCTTCCTCTGGGTCGTGTTCCGCACGAGGACGAGGAGGAGGAGGATTGCCAGGAAAAGGAGGAGGGATGATGCAGGACGAGACAGGAAAGCAGGAAGAGGAAGAGGCTGAGGGGAGGAAGGACGAGGAGGAAAAGGAGGAGGAGGAATGCCCGAGGAGGCCCCAGTAGGTCCCGGAAGGCCCAGAAGGCTCCAGGAGGCCCCAAGAGGCCCCAGGAGGCCCCAGGAGGGGGCAGGAGGCCTAAGGAGGAGGCAGGAGGAGGAGGAGGAGAGGAGAGGAGGAGGAGGAGGGGGGGGAGGAGGGGGGAGGAATATGGAAACGAGGAGGAGGAGGAGGAGGAGGAGGAGGAGGAGGAGGAGGAGGAGGAGGAGGAAGCGGATGAGGGAGAGGGAGAGGAGGAGGACAGGGGATGAGGAGGAGGAGGAGGAGGAGAAGGGAGAG